ATCACCTAAAACAGAATTGTAAAATAACAGTTATAAACAAACAATGTTTTAAGAAATTTTCATAAGCAAGTTACTCAATATATATATATATATATATATATATATATATATATATATGTGTGTGTGTGTGTGTGTGTATGTATGTACTGTTGATATTGTCAATTAATATTTTTGAATAAATATATGTATTAGGTGATGAAAAAGTAAAAAATATTTAACTTTAGGATAGAAGACTTTATTAAGACCGAGAGAGTTTGATCTCTAGCAATATACTTATAAACTGCGCGATTGGTCTAAGTCTGAAGGTGTCTGACCTTCAGCGCATTGTATTGAATTATGTGATGATGTGTTTTTTTATTTCATCAATATGTGCTTGAATGGGATCTGAACTGTCATGAGAAATTTAGGATGTATGATTGATTGATTTAGAATGATTAAAATGATTTCTTTCGATATATGTGACGTGGACTAAGTGCAGGTATGTTATAATTTAGGCATGATTCAATGAAATGAATGAAGAAAAAGAGAAATGAAATTGATGTGAATATATGTGAATTGTTGAGAAAATATAAGTAAAAGAAAATGAGTAACTAATACGTGTATCATAAAAACATTGATTGGTGTGATTATAATATGTGTATCGTAATACATCGATGGGTGAAATTATAACACATATGTTGTAATACATTGATTAGTATGACTGTAACAAATATATTAGGACAATATTGATTGATGTAAACAATATGATTTTGGTATGCCACTATTGAGATACTGTATAGATAGTTTAAAGATATACTCGGGGTATAGGATTTGAAGTCGATTGTGGAAATCTAGGAGGAATGAGGGTAATAAATGTTGTTCACTGATATGTACACAATTAAAAGTGAGATGCATTTACAGGCCTCACGTTCATTTCTGGACTAAACTCCTGACTACACATTCGCTATAAAGGGCCATGAACACATGTTGTATTCGTGTGTGGTTTGGCTAACTAGCAATTATTCATGCTAGCATAAGTCCTTCATAACTAGGAAAAGTATGTTGACAACGATTTAGGAGCCTGTGAGTACCTAAAGTACTGTTGTTTGGTGAATATTTAAAAATTGAAATGAATAAAGTATCATGAGCTTATAAATTGATTGTGTTTGATTAAGGGAGAAATGAATTGTATTTGATTAAGTGATAAATGATGTGTATAAATGATTTATGTTTGATTAAAATTATTAAAAAAATTTCTATTTTGATGCATGTTGTATTAGAAAATATTTTCTACATTACTTTGATTGTATTATAAAATGTGAATTTAATAGGGTAGAAGATGCTCATTCTTGCAAACATTTTCAGGTAAAGAAAAAATAAACGAAGATGAATGTAATAATTTAATTGAGTTTCCATTTAGAATTTATACTATTTTGATAAACCCTATTATAAATAGTAATTTAAGGTATATGTGTAATATTAAATAGTCAATTATATCCAATTTTAGTTAAAAATTTAATTATTAAAAAAGAGTATTTTTTAAAATATGAATTTGAATTATATATATATAATAAAATTTTAGTCTTGATTCTAAGTATAAATTTAAGTTATACAAACATATTTTTATTTTTATTATAAATGAGATTTTTGTACAGATAATTATTTTAATTTATTATTTTTTATCATTTTATATTTATATAAATTTTTATAATTTTTATTAAATTTTATTTAAAATTTTATATTATTAAAAAAATTATGTAAATTATAGTAAGAATATTGAAGGCAACGCCTGCCTCACCCTTAGACAAACGATAGCATGTCACCACGATATTAACTGGAGCACGCGACATGGCGTAGTCTGTATGGTTCAACTAGTATCGTCCTAATAAAATTGATACTTGCTCATCATCATACATCTGTTAATGTTAGAGTAAGTATCACTTTGAAAGATGCAGTACTTGATTTAAAAAATAAAACCGTCCATGCATCTGCAATATTTAAAGAGATTTGCATATTTAAAGAGTTCAACTACCAATTAACTTTGTCTTAATTGCTCTTCTTGGAGAGAATCGGTATTAACCATTCACATTAACTTTTTTAACCTTTATTGTTTTAATTTGTGATTAGGTTTTACTTTGACTATATACGCTGCAACTTGACTATAATCATGAACAACAAAAGGGCAAAATATTAGATACGTATCAGTTACGTTGCACTAATTATCATCACTTGTGTAGATCTTCACGAATTAATTTGCCAATACATTCATTTTAATCGTCTAAATAAAATATGATTTCTTTGAATAAAAAATATATTTTAAAAGTGAAACGAAGTTATAATTTTTAATCAAAAAAATAATAATCAATTTTATAATAATTATGATTAGGATTTATAATATACTTTTTCATTTTGAAAAGTCAAATTTAAGGGGGGGAAAGGTTGAAAACGTTAATCAAAGATGGACTTTCTTGGCTGATAGAAGTAGAAATTCCATACTAATAATATTAGAATAAGGTCAAGTAGAAAACCGCGAGATCATGTTGTCGCCAGCAACTTGCCCTTTAAGCGATATTCATACAAACTATACTTTACTTAGTCTTTGATATAAAATAACAATAATAATAATAATTAAAATATATTATTTTTTTAACAAAACTACAGATTGATAAACAAATTCTAAACCTTCAGAAATTAGAGTGCACTACACACACGACTTGAGGATTAATTTGAAGATTTAATGTATTCACAAGTGAAGTTAAAACATCTCAAGGCAGTTTAGGTTGAAACAGTATTTTTTACTTTTAATTACGAAAATATTATGTTATTATCCCTTTATTGTTTATTTAAAAAAATATACGAAATTTTAAAGAAAGATGAGAAAATAAAAATAAAATGATATTTTTATAACTGTATATAACTATAAGAAAATTTATTGATAATTATTCTGCTATATATTTAAATTTCAATAAAGATAATGAAAAATATTAACTATAGAGTGAAAGGCATTTTGATATGAATGAAAAGGAGTAAATCATAGTATCAAGATTGTTTTTTAAAAACCCACGCAACTTGTGAGTTTTGATATGTTTAACTATAATATTTATACTAGCAAAAAAAAATTATAATATTTATTATTATTACTTTCCCATTCATCTCTTATATATGCAGACACTTATGTAACATGTATTTGATATTTTTAAAATATTTAATTATATTTTTAATTTTTATAAAAGTAACCCTCTTTAAAATAAGTTTTTTTTAAATTATTAAATTTAATTATTAACATTTTAAAAATATTTGGAATTAGTCTTTGTTATTAAATATCTTTCATTAAGTCTAAGTTATTATTGTCATGTCATTATTATTTTTAATATTTTAATTTAAATATTAAATTTACAAAAACCTCTCTAATTCTCTCTCTCTCTCTCTCTCTCTCTTAACTTCTCTTTCTATATTAGACTTCATCATCTCTCTTGTAGTCTTCCAAAGTTCATTTGGCACACACTCTTATCTTCGTTTATACTATTTAACCTCTTATTAGACTCCAAAATAAAAACGCTCATTTCTTTTAGTGTTATTTGTTTCTTCCTTTTTGGTCATCACACTTTTTGCTCCCTCTCTACTACCCACACTCTCTTGCCACCACAATCATCACCACCAACACCTTACAATTCAACATTCCCATCATCCTCTCAACTAACCCTTCACCATCTAAAACATCACAACTGTAACCTTAAGCTTTTGATGTTTTTTGTGACTACTTTTAAAGAATTAGAATTAAAAAAGAAGGAGCTAAACACCTACAAAGAAGAATTAGAATGAAACAACAAACAGATGTTAAAAAAAATGAAATAATTATTAGATTTTTTAAATAATATAAATAATTTTTAAGTACTTTTTTTTGTAAATATTATTTTTTAAATTAAAAAATATTAAAAAAATGATAGCATAGTAGTGATGAATGATGAACTAAACTTATGTTAATAAACTTATCACCTAATAGTGGACAATTGATGATAGGAAGTAATTTTAAGTATTTTAAAAATATTAAAATTCAAATTCTAACAATTTTTTAAAAGACTAATTTTAAGAGATATTATGTTTATTTGAACTAAAAGCATAATTAAACTTTTTAAAAAGTTTTATTATAATCAAATATATTTTATTGCATTTAATAATTTTCCTTAATTTTAGAAATACTAGTTAAAATTTATTTTGTATTCCATTATACAATATTTAAGTAATAAAACTTTATTTTATTTTGTTCTATTTTATATTATTTTATTTTGTTCTATCTTATATTATTTTATTTCAACCCGTATTAAATATACATTGGATAAGATATGCCACCCCGAACAAGGACAACCCACATATGCGAATGATACATGTAGATTAGGGGTATTAAATTAAAAGATCTCTCCAAATAGTAAGTTAAGTAATTTCTTAAGAAATAACATATAAAAAAGTTTATTAAAAAGATATATTAAAAGTATATTAAAAATGAAAATATTAAATTATATCAATAGTTATAATTTTATTTTAAAATCAACTATTAAGTTAAAAGTTTTTATCTTTTAAATTAAATTTATCAAATTTTATATAAATTTAAAATTTTATTTATACAAACTAAAATTAACGTAATATCAAGTTTTAATTTTAAAATATTTGAAAATAAAATATGTTAATTAAATTTTTATAGTTATTTAATTTTAATAATATTTAACTAATTAATACAGTATATTTATAATTCAAAAGTCGTATCAATTAAAGTTAAAATTTGTATAAAATTATTTGTAGTGTAGTTAATGACATAAATATACCAATATAATTAGATATTTTTGGTTAAAAATTATGAAATAAATATAAAATATTTTTAATATGTTTTTTCTCTTAAATTTTTAAATAACATTTTAAGAGCATTAATTAACGTTTCCTTAAATTAAATATGTCAGCGTTCTCGCGTGGGGTCCCTAACGCATTCGGTTGATCATGAGTTTATATATTATGGGAGCCAATGGCCATTTGTAAACTTTCTTAGTGAAGAGAAAAGAGGGACAGTATCATGGCGGCTTCAATGAGAATATCAAGACTCATACACCGCTCCTTCTCTTCTGCCTCCTTTTCTAGAGGTAGATGTGTTCTTTGCAACATCCCACGTTATGAGGACGATCTGATCACTTTCCTCTTCGAAAAACAATAATAAAGGGATTTTTTTTCTTTTTATATTTTCTTCCCGTTCTCTTTAATTTTTGTTCATGAACTGATTTTCTGGGTTTGTTTTTGTCTATTGGAAAGGGAAAATTCAATAGGAGATTGCAAAAAAGGAAATTGAAAATTGGAAAGGGGGGATACAAAATGTTTTATAATTTGTGAAAAAATAGGTTCATTCAATGCTTGGGTGCTGTCAGCTACACATGACGCTTACCTCGTCGAGTGTCCTATGTTTTCTTAACCGTACTTTTAGATTCTCTCACTTCACTTGCGACTTTGTTTCTTGGGTGTAACAAATATCTCATGGTAAAATAATTCATGTTTGTTTCACTTTGAAGAATCATGATTAAATCGGTTTTGTACGTTGTGGGCTGTTTTGATTTGGATTTTTCTTTAGCGTTTCAAGGCCATAACAAATTATCTCAATGCTTGGATGAAAATTTTAACAAAAAAGTAAAAAAATTTCAGGTGGGAATGGTTACCTGGGTGCAGGACTGTGTAAATACAGCACTGCTACTGCCATCGAAGAACCCATTAAACCGGCAGTACAAGTAGAACACACCCAACTCTTGATTGATGGAAAATTCGTAGATGCTGCTTCTGGTGAGTGTTTTTTTATGTTTTTTTTTTTCGTTTGACAATATTGAGTTTGGACATATAGTTGAGTTTTTACAAAAAGATGGAAAAACAATAGGAAGGAAATTAAAAGATTTTTTTCAAGTTTAATTGTGTTGGGGGTATCTTACTGTTGAGATTTGTGTTGCATCAGGTAAAACTTTTCCAACGTTGGATCCAAGGACAGGGGAAGTTATTGCTCATGTTGCTGAGGGTCACTCTGAAGATATTGATCGAGCAGTTGCAGCTGCACGCAAAGCATTTGATCAAGGACCATGGCCTAAGATGACAGCCTATGTATTTGATCATAACCTTTTTTTTTCTTTTTTTTTTTTTAATTTCTTTTTTTGCAGTTCACAAAGCAGATCTTTGGTTCCATGTTATAATGATTTCATAGGAAAGGCAAAAGATCTTGTTGCGTGCTGCTGATCTGCTTGAAAAGCATAATGATGAGATTGCAGCACTTGAGACTTGGGATAATGGAAAGCCTTATGAGCAATCTGCTCAGATTGAAATTCCAATGCTGGTTCGCCTAATTCGATACTATGCTGGTATGTGTGATACAAAATGCGGAACTAATTAGTATTACCCTTCTCTTTGGGTTGTGAAACTATGGTGACACTTGTTTTTCATGTTTCTCAGGATGGGCAGATAAGATTCATGGTCTCACAGTTCCAGCTGATGGACCATATCATGTGCAAACATTGCACGAACCGATTGGTGTTGCGGGTCAGATCATTCCTTGGAACTTCCCTCTTCTCATGTTTGCTTGGAAGGTTGGACCTGCATTGGCCTGTGGCAATACCATTGTTCTCAAAACTGCTGAGCAGACACCATTGTCTGCTTTATATGCATCAAAACTATTTCACGAGGTGAGTGATGGTGGTATTGACCAATCTTCATTTTTTGTAAGAAGCATGGTTTTGGTGAAGCTTTAATTTACTCATAGGATATCTTTAATCTTCATCATGCCTAATTTGTAATCTGTCTGGCAGGCTGGACTTCCTCCTGGTGTTTTAAACATAGTATCAGGGTTTGGTCCTAGTGCTGGTGCTGCTCTTGCTAGTCACATGGATGTTGATAAGGTACTAAAATATATAGCCTCCACTCCTAATGATTTTTGTAGTGGCATGAACGAGTTTCTGTAAATTCTAATATAAAATTTCCAGTGCAATTATTTGAGTTTCCTTATCTTGTGGAGAAGTGTCAATTTATAATGTGATGTTTGTTTTCAATTTTTCATCCTAGTGGATGCAATGTCTTAACAGCATGAATTTTGGAATCTTCTTGCAGCTTGCTTTTACTGGTTCAACTGATACTGGAAAGATAGTCCTTGAACTGGCGGCTAGAAGCAATTTGAAGCCTGTAACTTTGGAACTTGGTGGAAAATCCCCCTTTATAGTGTGTGAAGATGCTGATGTAGATCAAGCTGTAGAGCTAGCTCATTTTGCTTTGTTCTTCAATCAGGTATATATAAAAGTGTAGAGTTTTTGTTACGAAACAACTATCTCACAGAATTCAGAAAACTTAATTGGTGTTCTTTGTGACATTCAGGGACAATGTTGCTGTGCTGGGTCCAGAACATTTGTGCATGAACGTGTATACGATGAGTTTGTTGAGAAAGCGAAAGCTCGTGCTTTGAAACGTGTTGTTGGTGATCCATTCAAGAGTGGAATAGAGCAAGGTCCTCAGGTAAATTGCTAAGAATCCTTGCATTGCATCCTCATGTTTGGCGTTGTAGCTTTGTTTTCTACTGTTGTTTGAGGGTGAGGGTGATATGTCTGATAATTTGGTAGAGTTTGCGCTTCACTAATTCAATGCTGATTGCTGATGATTGGAGATATGTTACTGTCCTTATGATGTTCAGATACTTGAGGCTGCAGAGTACTAAAATGCATAGAAAGAATGCAACATTGCTACTACTTTGATATTCCCTTTTCTTGAATCTTAACGCATGATACTTTCAAAATGTCAAAAATACTAATGATTTCGTGTATGATCCAAACAATCAGATTGATTCAGAGCAATTTCAGAAAATACTGAAGTATATTAGATCTGGTGTTGAAAGTGGGGCTACCCTTGAAACTGGAGGAGATAGGCTTGGCCAAAAGGGCTTCTACATTCAACCCACTGTCTTCTCAAATGTCCAGGTATAACCTTTTAGCTTGCATTTTCACATTGTCAGAGTAGACTGAAAAATGAAAATGATATTCCTAATGTGTTTAATCGTATTTGTAACAATCGCCAGGATGGGATGGTGATTGCAAAGGATGAGATCTTTGGTCCAGTTCAATCCATATTAAAATTCAAGTAAGAAAGCAACGAGTCTTGCATGTGTTTGGTAAAGCTTTTTTAGTAGAATTAATCATTTATTTTTCAAATAAGAGATTGTTTTTTAAATATGAGCTGAATGAAGCATACACTTATTTGGTAGAAAATGCTATTATCTATGTGCTGCTATATTGTGAAGTAATATTTGTGTTGATCATAGGGACCTTGGTGAGGTAGTTCAAAGAGCAAATAAAACACGTTATGGGCTTGCAGCAGGCGTGTTCACAAAGAACATAGACACTGCGAATTCTTTGACACGAGCACTGAGAGCTGGAACAGTATGGATAAATTGCTTTGACACGTTTGATGCTGCAATTCCTTTTGGTGGGTACAAAATGAGTGGGCAAGGCAGAGAAAAAGGAGAGTACAGTCTTAAGAACTACTTGCAAGTTAAGGCTGTTGTTGCTCCTTTGAAGAACCCAGCATGGCTTTGAGCACCGCTACATTCTCTTGGTTCAATAAGTTAAATAGGACTTCGATGATAATGATGATAAAATCTTGTTTTTGTTACCTGGATCGTGACATCGTTAATATTTTTGTTTTTGGATGTTTGAATAATATTTCTTGCTTTAATGAAAAATTCTTCATCTTCATCCTTTTATCGTTTGTCCATTTCCATCCCTTTCATTTCCGTGTGTCAGCGTGACATACTTGTATCATTGACACGTGTCTCTTAAATGTCCAATTCATTGGTTTTACACGCGTGAATTTGAATTAGATTAATTAATTTTTTTAATTTAATTAAAAGTATAAAAAATAATAATTGAGAGAATTTGATATTTATTTATACGTAGAAATAATTTTAATAGTTAATTTTATATTTATAGAATTATTAGTTTAATTAAAAATCTTTAAAATATTAAAAAATTACAATAATAAATTAAAAAATAATAATTTTCAAATATATACTATCATATCAAACAACTTAAAAGTTTTATCAAAAACACGTTCAAACAACTAAGTACCTCTCCTTTGAATAATTTATAGAAAATATTTCTCAAATTTATTATAACATTAATTTAAATTTATACTAATTAAATTTGATAATTTAAAATTAAAATTTTGTTAATCTTAATCCTCAAAGATAAGTAATTAATAGAAATAGAAGTATTTATTATATTTTTATAATTTTAATATAATAATTATATATCTTTTTATAAAAAAATTATTTATAAATATTTAAATTTAGCTTTAAGATTAATAAATTTTTAAAATTAATTTCAACCAATTTGAAAACCAACGGGTACTAGTTCTTAGGTGAAAGTGAGGAAACGTTGACCCGATCATGTTAGATATAAAACCTGTGGGTGAAAATCGATAGCATGTATTTTAAGAAGGTAACGACAAATCAGCCTTTGTTTCCATTTTAGCATCTTTCAGTGCCCTGCAACATTACCATAAAGTCAACAATTGAACTTGAGACAGTGAAGTTTCTGCGAAACGAAGAAACCCAAGGGTTAGGTTACTAATAAAAAATATTTTAAGAAATTTATGTTTGATTTTGAGAATTTAAATACTAATATAAGATAAGAGGATTTTTTTAAAAACAAAGTTAATATTTCGAAACCTTGATATTAATTTTCAAAACTTAACATGGATATAAAATAAGTATATTTTTAAAAGATTAAAATTTTATTTTATTAAAATAAATTAGACTAAAGCTTAGATGACATAACATACTTGAGAGATATGCCACTTCTGACTTCCCTCCACGACCCGCTACCCTATCTCGTTTCCGCGATTTTTCAAAATTTGCTTAGTTTCTGCATCCCTATCATCACCTATTTGAAGTCTTGTAAGCTACGGAGTATTTGAATCTCTGACAGGAAGTTAAATAAAATAAAGCGAAAGAAATAAAATAAAAATATTATTTACTATTTAAATTTATAATAAAAATTGTTTTTAATAAAAAATTTACTGTATGCTTGAAAATATATTTTTCAAAAATAATTTGAAAAGGTTAAAAAATAATGACTATTTTTAAAATTAAACATATTCTAAATTTTAAATAAATGAGATAGAATTATTAAATTTTTTCATATCGAAAAAATATTATTGAATTTAAATGAATTTAAAAATAAAAAATTTAAAAATTATTTTCAAAATTAATAAATTTATAGATTTAAAAATAATTAAATATTTTAATTATTAATAATAAATAATTTATTATATTAAATAACACTAAAGTAAAGATAATTTTTTAAAATTAAAAAAATAAAGGTAAAATTAATTTTAGTTCTTATGATTTTTTTTATATATTTAATTAAGTTCTCGTAGTTTAAAAGTTTTTTTTTATTAAATTCTTACAATTTTAAAATATCATAATTGAATTCTTAATAACTACATCTTGATTTTAACGAACTCTGCTATTTAGAAGAATATTCTTAAAGTTAATAATATTTTGAGAGATAATTTTAAATTTAAACTAAATTTTAAATTTTATGCAATATGATATTACGATTACATTAGATTAAATGTTTAAATTGTCAACTTAACAAATTTTATTCACATCTAATATATAAAGGTCAAAGTTAGTAAGATATTTATTCATATTACTTAAAAATTGAATTAGTTCACCACTTAATTTTGTAATATATCAAAGTTGACATGTACCAGCTTATTAGGCAATAAACATAAATATTATAGATAATTAGTATTAGAAAGGTAAAAAAAGACTTATTTTACAAATGTAACTCATATTCTTTATTAATTTTATATCTTAATTGGTCTAGAAGGTGTGAGTAATAAAGAAAGTTAATTTTTTCATTTTACTTATTTATTATGAATCTTTGTCTACTAATGTTATGCTTTATCACATCATCATAGATTTATTTATGCAAAACTCTTATCCTACGTATTTCTACGAGCTTGAAGACATTAACTATAGTATCAGAAATTGTCTTTACTCTATATAAGTTTAGTTTCACTTGTGTTATTTTTCTATTGTAATTTTCATGATTTTACTACCACTTGGATTACTACCTTAGTTTAGGGATTATATTTCGTATTTATTCATTCTTTAGTGACTTTGATATTGGAGAATAATATGCTCTTTGATAAAGAGAAATTGAGTACTATAAAATAAGTTAACCCTCAAATTCACTTCTTTTCTAAAAATGCTATAGAATCTACCATTCAAGTATTATAAAATTAATGTGGATGGTAGTTATAAGATAGACCATATAGGTTGTGATGGTATCAAACAAGAGTTTGATAGTAAATGACTAAAGTGATTTACTTTTTTCTATGATAATACATTTGTTCTCTATGTTGAATTGAAAGCAATATATTAAGTTTTTATTTAGCTATATTAAAAAGTTATTATTGATGATTTTGAAATTTGATTATTTAAAAGCGATAAATCTTATTCTAAAGAAATCAAAATTGTCTATTTTGAAGTATGTTCTATTCTACAGGATATTCATCATTTCATGCAAAACTTTTTTTATATACTCATATGTTATGTTATTTGCAAGACTAATTCAGGAACTGAAAAATTAGTTTATTTGACATTCTTATCCAAAAAATTTCTTTCATCCTCTAGATGATTTTTCAAATACAATTTCTAAACTTCTAATTCTAAATAGTTTACATATTTTGTGGTTATCTTTCTTATTTCTCTTTTTTTTTTACCAAAAAATATTATTATATCTTTATTAAATATCAACTATATGACATTTTTAATTTACTAATCTATTTTTATAATTATTTTTATATGTATTTTTCTATTTTTCTAAATCATATTATTGCTAGATGATAAATAATTTAACACTAGATTGAGGAACTATATTTCAAATTATATTTATGCTTACATATTTAATATTCAGAAACTAAATATGATAAAAAAAAATGAGAAGTATTAGTAAAGAAAAAGAAATTTTGAATTAATCCTAAAATCTTGTACTCTTAAAAATTACTTCCTCAAAAAGTTCAAATTTAGAGTCTAATTTCTTCTACCGTGAATTTGAATTTTTATACTAACTTTAAAAAATTAGTAAAAGATTAAAAAAAAAAAAACTCTAAACTTATCACTATTAGTGTGTCAAACTCATATGTGCTAACAATAATTCAATATTAAAAATATCATATAATAATAATATAATTTAAGTCCAGCAAAAAAATATATAATTTAAGAATTTTAAAAATACTTAAAAAATAATTATAAAAAAAGATATATTACCAAATTATATAAAAATATCAAATATTAATACTAAACAAAAATATAATAATGCTAATTATTCAGGATTTAATTAAAAAATTTTAATTATGAGGAACAAGTTAACACTAAAAAACTATAAAGACTAACTGATTAATTTTAACTAAAAATAAATTATGATTAAAAATAAATATTTAATAAAAATATATGAAAAAATGAAAAATAAAATTAGTTCCTATAATTATTGTTGTTTAATTTCTTAAAAATAATTATATTTATTTTTAATCATTGAAATAAAAAATTTGACAACATTTTATTTCATTTTTTACTTTATCAGTTTGATTTTATCCAAACTGAAATAAATACTTTGTTTTATCCACAATATTTTTTTTCACATGCCTTGAATTGAAGTCAGATTAAAGACAATGTATTCTGCACGAATTTACGTAAGGTCTGACTCAAGACAATATATTATGCACCACTTTATTTATCAGAATACCAATCCTCTAGACTTCTAAAACAAATACACACTGTTATTTGCAGTTGTTAATCTTGCTGTTAATATCTTTTTAATTATTTTTTATTTCAATATTTTAAAAATGTATCGTGATCAGAATTTATAAGCCCTAAACTTAGTTTAAATTTAAAATTCAAAATTTAAGTTTAGTTGACTTATTTTATTTACTTTTAAAAATATGATTTACTTTATTTAAAGGATTTATTAAATCTGTAAATTTATTTAAAATTTTATTTTTAAGGTATTTAGAAATTTATAAAATAATTTATGATTTATATATTTTTTTCTTTTTTCAATAATACTTTTAGTATAATTTATTAAAATAAGTTCCTTTTACCTTATTTTGATAGTTTTTTAGTAAGTATTTAATTAAGTTATTTATTCAAATATAACCTTTATATCAGAGAGGAGAGAGTGGAGGTGGACGAAAATTTTAGATGAAGTACATTGGTTCCTCCTTATAAGTTTCATTTCACAAACATGGCAACCTTCAAGATGAAGGCAATGGTGAAGAGGGTAAGATTATTTCTTTTAGAGATATGGTTACAGAGACAAGAGCTACACTCTCACAAGGTATTCTAACATATCTCTTAAATAATAAACACATTTGGAATAGGTTAAACTAATGATAGACTCAGGAGATGAAAGGAACTTTGTCTTTCACAACAAGATCTCGAAGAAATTCTTAAAAAAAATTTGATATATAATAATAAAAATTTATCAAAATTGTAAAAGTTGCAAAATACTTTAAAATTATGTATGCGAACAATGACTTCTATATGGTCAAGTTTGATTTAGAAGTTTATTATTCTCCCACAATGTTGAAGGGTGGTCTATAGATAATTTTTTTTTATCACTATCTAATTGTTCAAATGTGGGTCAGTCATAAGTATACGAGCTTCTGCTTGAGCCTTTAAAGATAAA